GCGAGCGTCGCCCTGGGCCCGGCCCGGGCTGGTGGGCCCCAGCCATTGCCCGAGCTCTTTTCTGCGCGCTGGAGGGGAGTTGGGCTGCTAGGGGGGCCTTTTGCCCAGGTTTTGGGTGAGCGCTGGAGATGCTCTTAGGGTGAAACAAAAAAAAAAAAAAGCCTGCCACTATTTACATGAATAGTGTCAAACTTGCTTTTGCCTTGTCCTTGCCCTTGCCCTTGCCCTTGCCCTTGCCCTTGCCTTTGGGTTGGGGTGCTCTTAGAAGAGTACATAACGGCGTCGTTGCAGAATCTTCCCTCAAAACCCAAAACCCTAACTCCATCAGAACCAAAACCTAACGCCAAAAACCACCAGGAGACAGACCAAATTTGAGCTCCTTCAATGGCGGAACCCCAAATCTCCAAGACGTACCCTGTGAAACCCAAGCACAAACCTAAGCCCCGAACCCCAAAACAAACCGCAGAATCCAAGTACTGGTCCTCCTTCAAAACCAAGCAAATCCCAGACCTCATCTCCTCCATAACCTCCCTAACCTTCTCACCCACAACCCCACACTCATTCGCTGCGGCGCACTCGGCCTCTCTAACCCTCTACAATCCCCAAAACAAATTTTCACCCACCGCCACCATCTCTTCCTTCCGCGACGTCGTTTCCTCTGCCTCGTTCCGATGCGATGGTCTCCTCATCGCCGCCTCAGACCTCTCGGGCCTCGTCCAAGTATTCGACGTCAAAACCCGAACCCCACTTCGCAAGCTTCGTTCCCACACACGCCCAGCCCGTTTCGTCAAATACCCAGTTGCCGATAAGCTCCATTTGGTTTCCGGCGGCGACGACGCAATCGTTAAGTACTGGGACGTCTCCGGCGAGACCCCAATTTGCGACTTGCTGGGCCACAAGGACTATGTGAGGTGCGGCGATTGCTCACCGGTTAGTGCGGACATGTTCATAACTGGGTCTTATGATCACACAGTGAAGCTTTGGGATGTAAGAGTTAAGGATTCTGGGTCAGTAATGGAAGTGAATCATGGCAAGCCGGTTGAGGACGTAATTTTCTTGCCATCCGGGGGGTTAATTGCAACAGCTGGTGGCGATTCTGTGAAGATTTGGGATTTGATGGGAGGTGGAAAACTGGTGTATTCAATGGAGAGCCATAACAAGACTGTGACTTCGATTTGTGTTGGAAAACTTGGGAAGGATGTTGGGGAAGAAGCACAGCAGTACAGGATTTTGAGTGTGGCATTGGATGGTTATATGAAGGTGTTTGATTATGCCAAAATGAAAGTTACTCATTCCATGAGGTTCCCTGCTCCCCTCATGTCAGTAGGGTTTTCGCCGGATTGTTTGACCAGGGTTATTGGGACTTCGAATGGGACAATATACGCTGGGAGGAGGAAGAACAAGGAAGATTTTGAGGGTGGCTCTGATGAGGAGCTAGAGAGGCCGCTTTCCAAATATGAGAGGAGGCAAAAGAAGCTGAAGGCGTTAAGCTCTGGGGATGCTGGGGGATTGGGACCTGTGGAGGAACCACAGGTTCGGGTTTTGAAGCCTACTAATTTTCGATATTTCCACAGAGGGCAAGGAGAGAAGCCATCCGAGGGGGAGTATTTGGTAATGAGACCAAGGAAAGTGAAATTAGGCGAGCATGACAAGCTGTTGAAGAAATTTAGGCACAAGGAAGCTCTAGTGTCTGTGTTGGGTAGTAAGAATCCGGAGAATGCTGTGGCTGTGATGGAGGAATTGGTAGCAAGGAAGAAATTGCTGAAATGTGTTTCGAATTTGGATACGGAGGAGCTCGGATTGTTGCTGATGTTTTTGCAGAAGCACTCGACCATCCCTAGTTACTCAGGGTTGTTGATGGGGTTGACAAAGAAGGTTCTAGAGATGAGGGCTGAAGACATTAGAGCTTCTGACGATTTGAAGGGTCATATTAGAAACCTTAAAAGGTCTGTTGAGGAGGAAATACGAATACAACAATCATTGCAAGAGATACAGGGTATAATTTCACCTTTGTTGAGGATCACGGGAAGAAGATGAAACTTGATTGCTTTTTGTCAATTTTCATGATCAATTTATCTTATGTTTTTTACTTATTACCTGCCTGAGGTTTCTTCTTATCATGGCAAGACAGTATCTGCAATTTTGTTTCTTTGGAATCTACTCTGAATGTTGTTTCTTTTATGGTGTTTAAAGTAATCTCAGTTTTACTGCCAAGAAATGTTGGCTCATGTTAAGTATACTATTCACATCTCATACTTTGTCTTAAATTTTCTTAGTGAGTTGTTTATCCTTGGGGATATAATCCCCAGTTCGTCAGAAGGTTAGGTCAAGTTACGGAACATGACATGAAATGCTGTATTTATATCCTTGGGGATATAATCCGCAGGGATGCGTACATATAACTGTGTTCGTATCTTGTCATGTAGTAGCTACAATGTGATGAGTTATGCATGCTTGTCAATTTTATTGCTTTGATGTTTGTAACCTACTACTACAGGTGACAAAAATTCCTAAGACATTTTCGACTGTGACGAGTTACATGAAACTTTCATTCCTTCGTTTGTGAATGAAAAACTTAATTCAATTGGTGGGCATGTGGAGTTTTGCATGGTAAATTTGTACACTCACTCCCCAACTTCTTGTATTTCACTAGAGGTTGTGACAGACATGATTGGAGCTTTGGATTTGCTCAATTCTCTTAAATCTTTACTTCGTGAGGTTGGTTTTGCTAATGAAAGGTCACAATTAGTTCTAAAAGATTGTCTTCGTAAACTGGGGTCACTTCGTAAATTTTGTGTTCCTAATTTGAAAATTTTGGAGAAAATAAGGAAATTCTGCTTGGCAAATGCTTCCTTAATATTTTGCATCGTGTCAAGCTCTGCTAAATTGCAGACACAGAAAAAGGCACCCTTGCATTTGTTAGTGATTGATGAAGTCGCTCAGCTTAAAGAATGTGAATCAGCAATTCCTTTGCAACACCCGGGTCTTCGCCATGCTGTTCTCATAGGAGATGAGAGGCAACTCCCTGCTATGGTTATAAGCAAGGTTTCATTTTGTCCTTTGTGCTGTATAGTTAAAAAAGTTTGTAAAGCTTTATGTTTTATGTGAATTTTGAATAATGCACTTTCAGATCTCCGAGAAGAGAAGGGTGGTTTTGGAAGAAGTTTGTTCGGAAGACCTCTACTGTTGGGACATGAGAGGCACCTTCTCAATGTCCGGTATAGAATGCATCCATCAATCAGCTTATTCCCAAAAATGGAGTTTTACAACAACCGGATATTAGACGGTCCAAATGTCAAGCAAAGAAGCTATGAGAAGTGCTTTCTTTCTGGAAAAATATAAGAATGCTACTCCTTTATATGATGTAGCCAATGGACAAGAAGAATTTGATTGCGGGCATAGTCGTAAAAATATGGTTGAGGTTGCTGCAGTCTGTGAAATTGTTGCAAGCCTTTACAGAGGTAATTTTTGCTGTATTCTAGTGTAGATGTTCTTGACTGCTTCAGTTATGCTTGTAATGCTTGGAAGGTTTTTCTGTAACTATTTTTATGGACCACAGAATTTATTCGAACAAAAAAGAAGGTTAGTGTTCTGGTAATATCATCTTACAAAGCTCAAGTTAATGCAATTCAAGAGAGAGAGAGAATTACAGTGGAGTTTCTGGCACTGATGGTTCTCTGTAAGGGTTCAATCTGTTGATGGTTTCCAAGATGGTGAAGATGATGTGATAATTAATATTATCTCCAGAGTCAGATGTAATGAGAAAGGATATGTAGGTTTCATATCCAATCCTCAAAGAGCAAACGTGATGCTAACGCGTGCAAGGTGCTTCTGTCACATTGCGGTTGTACATGTAGTAGCTTAGGTGTACTGTCTGAATTTTTGGTGCTTCTGATGAAGTTGATTTGTTTCTTTGTGTCTGTTGACACTGTCTTTGGATTTTGGGGAATGAAGCGACTTTGATTAGAACTAACTCTATTTGGAAGAAACTAATTCTTGACGCAAAGAAACGCAAATGTTTTTATAATGCTGATGAGGACAAGAACTTGGCTTAGGCCATTGCAGCTGCCCTCATGGAGCTTGGCCAACTTCATATTCCACTTGATTCCGATTCTCTGCTGTTCAAAAATGCCAAATGGAAGGTGTGCTGCTACGTTTCCTTTCCGTTTGAATTATATTGGACTGCTGTTCTGCATGCCGCCAATATATAGTGTTATGTTGCACCTGACATTATGAATCAAAGCTTATAGAGTGCACAAATTTCCCTTGAATGGGGGAACATGCCTCTTTAAAGGCAAATTCGTTCTTTTAGATCCCGTTTGGTTCATGGAACAGATTTGATGGGAAATCATTTTCCATATCATTTTCTAAAGGGTGGGAAATGACAATTCCTTTTTCATGTTTGGTAATGCTGGGAGGATTTTAAGAATTAAGAATTAAAAAAATAAAAAAGAATGCTAATAGTTGTTGGATAAAATTGTAAAATTAGTCAGAAAAAATGTGCATTTAATGATGGCCTTACTTTCTCATGAAAAGGGAAAGTAAAACCCAAGGAAGGAGAATGGCTTCACGTTTCCTCCTATTTTTCCATTTGCCAAGCAACGGTTTCCCATACTTACTTACCAAAAATAGGAAAGCAATTGAGTTCCCATCCATAAGCTTCCTTTTCCATGAACCAAATGGGGCCTTAGTCCACATAAAAATTTTAGTTGCTTGGTTCTTAGGATATTTGAGTTTAGATTTTATGTTTTGTAGCATTAAATCAATCTTCTTCCCGTATAGGTTTGCTTCACCAATGAAATTCAGAATTCCATAAAAAAAGATTAAAGACACTGAGATCCGTCCGGAAGATTTGGGATGTTCTTCCAGTTCCTGATAGTCCCGAACTTGATAAGCAGCTTGAAATTATGTTTCGTTGCTATATACAACCGATGAGATGAGCCTCTGCCTGCGCAGATGTGTTGGGTAAGTGTAAGCGGCTTGAAATCATGTTTTGACAAGTTTAATAGAACAGTACATTTGTGCTGAAGCTGATTGATTGAAAGTATTCTATAGACATGGTTCAGAGACGCAGTTCCGATTAGATTGCAGGTGGATTCGAGCAGCTCCCATGAGGCTGATCCTGTGGAGGTTCTTTCAAAACCATTATCTTCACTCAGTCTAACAGATGAGCCACAAACATCAAGCACCCCTATCAACAACATATGTTGATCTTGAAGGTTGCGGCCATTACCTGATGATGATGCAGAAAAAAGATTAGAAATATATGTTGATCTTTGATTACTTGATTTAGCAATTCAATCAAACAATTACTTCGGTTTCGGATTCCGAAGTTCGGCCGATTTGATCCCCTCGTACATTTGTGGTTCCTCCGCAAGAAATATAACTTGGATATCATGTGTTATGATTTATGGTTGCATAACAAAAAAGAATTAGATTAGTGTACAAACAAAGCACAAGAAATTAGATATCGTAAGAAGAAACTACGATATTTAAAATACTAATTAGCATAAACCATTTGCATTACAAAAAGTTACTGGAAACTTCGTTTTTACTACTTCTCACCCACCGCTACAGTCTCCCATTCTCATCCCCTACCCAGACAAACTCAGAGAAATCGAAGTCGCAACGCCAAGCGCGTACACCCCAATCGCCGTCCCAATCAACTCCTTCCCGGACCTCGTCACGGCCCCAACCCCAGCAATCCCAGCCACGCCAATCGGAACGCGCCACATCACCGCCTTCCTGGCGTTCTCCACCACAGCTCCGGCGAAGAGCTCCACCGCCCACTGCTTGAACTCGGCCGGCCCGATCGTCTGGGCCCGCGGAGAGCGAGTCACGGCCTCGAGGGCCGAGTCGACCCGAGAGCGAGTCGGCGGAGATGGGACCCATTTGAGGATGAGGGGGTTGGGGTGGACGGTGCGTAGCGTTTCGTGGAGGTGGTTGGAGGCTGTGGAGAGCTGGTAGGGGAAGACGCCTTGGAAAGCGTGCTCGGTGAGCGAAAGGCAGTGTGTGAAGGCCCAGTCGCAAGCTGAGTCGAACGCGGCCGAGTTGGAGAGCGACGACTTCACTCGCTTTGAGCTTGAGATTCCCATCTCTCCTTCCCCTCTGGTTTTATGCGCGCAGCGTTGGGTTTCACGTTTTGAGGCCCCAACGGACAGTGTGTCGGTATTTTATGAGTTTATCTATTTATTTGCTGATATATATTCTTGGAAAAGGTCCACATTTTTTCCCTCTTCTTTGTGGGATTTTACACTTTGATTCAGATGTTATTGATTAGTTTGATATTTATTGCAAATTCAATTTCGATAAATTATAAAATGCTATAGTAGTATGGTCACGCGATATATATTGTACATGTATTATAATATGGGTGGACGATATGGTTTATTTTTCCCTCTTTTAAGGAATAGTATCAATAAATATCAACTTATATTATAATACGTGTATAAGATGTAACATATGATAGTACGACATGTAACATGTGATCGTACTATCGTAGTATACTATAATCACTCATTAAATTCCCTTCTAAAACTTTATAGTTCAATATTTTATGAGTTTCTTTATTTATTTGTTGATTTTTTATGTTAATCAGCATTTTTCTGAATTATAATAATAATAAAAGAAAATTTATTTGAAAGAGTCACTCTTTGTTTTCTTATTTGTCTTTGTTTTAATACCTTCGATATTTGGGAGGGGCGAATCGAATCCAAGACTTCAGATGCATGTGTAAATGTTGTTAACCATTTGAGCCACAAGACAGCTTCTATAAGTTCGATGTCCATTGCAATTCAATTCCCATCCAAGATTCTGTCTAGAATAAATGTTTACATATCTCATCACATGATTATAAGGGAATTAGAAAGAAATTTGAACTTATCTTTTAAATTGCAATGAATGTCAAACACTGAAAACGAAAATTGGAATTAATTTTTATTTTTTTAGTAAAGCTACTTTTACCATATTTGTATACCACATCTATCACATAAGATGTTATGAGAATGTGATATACAAATGTGGTAAAAGTAACATTTACTCATTAATTTAATATTTTTTTTCTTTTATAATTTATTGACACTTTTAATTGTGATATGAAAATGTTGTAAGAGTAGCATTATTATTATTATTTTTTTTAATGGAGGCGAAAAACCAAATTTCTTGGGTTTGGTTGTTAGTGGTGTTGCCCTTCGGAAGTTTGAGAAACACTTGCATTTTACTATTCCGACCAATTAAATTATGACACGTGTGATAACATTTTCACTGAATTATTAGCCAGGATAGCAAAGTGGCAACCAAAAATATAAAAACCAAGTTGCAACCAAGTTTTTCTCTTGGAGTTTGGATGGAAGGTTTCTTAAACCTCTTCGACCTCGCTCCACAGTCTACAGGAGTACAACACCTTCCATGGAAGCTCTCATGGGTTCTATCAAATTCCATATTCCTCAACTGGGTTTCAAGCAAAACTACCCAGAACCCCACCTACGCTATCGTTTGGCGTTACCTTCTTCTTCTTCAACCCCAAGCCACATCGTCTGTGGCCTCAGAGGGGGACCAAGAAAGCCTTTATGGAGGTCAAGGGTGCTCTCAACTGAAGCCATTCAGGCAGTTCAGTCTCTAAAGCTTTCCAAATCAAACCCATCAAAGCTCGAGCAGGTTATGGGCGGTAGGCTCTCCAGGCTCTTGAAAGCTGACTTGTTAGACGCCTTGGCTGAGTTGCAGAGACAAAATGAAGTGGAATTAGCGCTCAAGGTTAGGGTTCTTCCCTTTGGTCATCATCTCTCTTGCGCCATGTTTAGAAAATTTATAAAAGAAAACGTTTGGCAAAATTATCCTTTACAATTTGGATTGTTATTGTTGTGCATAAACGACTAAACAGGATACCAAATCATCAAGAGCATGTTTGATTATCTTTTTGGCTTTTGGGGTTTGGGAAATAAGGGAGAGGGTATGCTCTCAGCGGCACTAAAAGTAAATTTGAGAAAATTATGACCACAAGTCCAAGTACATGGAATTTATGGATTTCTTCACACCAGCAAGTGACTTTTTATTCTGAAGTTCAATGAACTTTGGTTTTGTGATCAGATATGAATAACTGAATGTTGATTGTTGTGAGTATATATTTGGATATATTAGTCTGTTCATAAGGATTTGAATTACGTGATGGATAGTTTTGTTGTCAAAGGAAGGATGTATCTTTTTCATTCTGCTTAGGATATTCTAAAGAATATCAAAAGTTATTAAGCCATAAGTGCTTTCTAAATGATTTTGAAAGAAAAAGGAAGATGAAATTTTCTTACTTTTTCTAATTTGAATAATGCAATGCTTTTCTGGTTACGGTGCTGATTATAATTCAAAGTCCTTATTTTACTACTTAATTTGGGATGAAATAAATGAAATAAATGAGAAAAATGGTTTATCTCCTGCTTTTTGCCACTTTCACAGCTTCAGATTTTCTTAATGTAACTTACAACAGTCACATAGTTTTTTTTGAGGCATGAATAAGAAACAAGCCCTTTGCTGCCAATTCTGGCTGCTCATTCAACCAGGTTGGAATGTTTAGTTAGTCTGAAGAGTGCATGATGTAATTAAATTGTAGTTCTATACAATTAACAATCCTGTAACGGCTGGTTTGTAAGTTTCAGAATTTCTGACTCCAGTTATGAAAACTGTAAAACTAAGGGTTCCTTCTGTGATCATTTTGTTTTTAGTTTCCATTTTTTGGCTAGAGATAGAGGGGAAATGTATGAAGCAATGAGACATGAAGGGGGGTGGTGCGAAGGAGGATTGAGAAAATAAAGGGGAATGTAGGAAACAAAAACTTGAAAATGAAAACAACTTAAATTTATATATTTTTATTTCAGTTTTTAGTTTTCAGTTTTCATCTTACACACCATTTCACAAGCATTTCTTTCACATCCTCCCACCATCCTTCCTCCATCCTTCTTCATCTCTCCGTTCTCATATATATTTTCCCTCCATCTCTAACAAAAAAATGCAAACTAAAAACAAAATGGTCACAAAGCAAGCTCTAAGTTGTCAACTACTTTTAATCATAGTGTTTTCTATGATAATAGTTGAATATTGTTATTTTCAACTTGAGATGTTATGTGTTATCTGAACGGGAATCAGGCTTTAGGTCTTCAAATTTGTTCGGGAGGAAGTATGGTATAAGCCAGATCTATCATTATACTGTAGCATGATCCTATTGTTGGGAAAGAACAAACTGATTGAAATGGCTGAAGAGCTTTTCTCTGGATTAAAGGAAGAAGGATTAGAATATGACACTAGGGCTTTTACTGAGATGATTGGAGCTTATATACAAGTGGGTATGACCGAAAAGGCAATGGAAACATATGAGCTGATGAAGGCATCAGGTTGTGTGCCAGATAAATTAACGTTTACAATATTGATTAGAAACCTTGAGAAGGTTGGAGAAGAAGAATTGGCGGCTCACGTAAAGAAAGATTGTGCTGAATATGTAGATTCTCCTGAGAAATTCTTTGAAGAAGTTGCAAGAAAACATGTAAGTGTTCAAATATTTATGTTCTGACCTTGTCCATAATATATGAATATGTTGTTTTGGGGTTAATGAGATAGAATCGTCTGTTGTTAAGGGTGTCTGCAGTGATTTGTGATAGTTATTTTCTTGTAATCTCCTTCTTTAATAATAAAATTTCATGCCTTCATCATCTGGAAATGCAGGCCTGAGGCCAATCAAGTTCATATTTAGTGTTCTGCAGTAAATGTTGTTTTTTAATCACTTTCTATTACCATTTCAACTGTAAATCTTGGGACGCACAGAGGCTGAGTATATCACAGATGAAGTAGGCTGTATACTGCAATAACATTATATTCCTGGCTTCTAGTATCAATGTATCCAATGTATAAAGTCACTCTAGTTCCTTGCAAAGAATTTTGATTCCTTGGTTCTAAAGAAATCCTAGTACAAGCATGTTATAAAAGGAGGTAAAGTAAACAAAGGGTTTGGTGCGTACTTGATTTCCTCACTCATGTGATCTATGTTAGGGAAACTAGTTGTTGTGGATGTCATGTTGGTTAAAAGTAGGGTAAGGCCATCTCTTAGCATTTTTCAAAGTGGAATGTGAGCAATTTTAAACGTCATTGGAAGTTGTTAATCTTATATTTGGCTGCCTATCATTAGAAACATATCTATCAATGATACAATTAGTTTTATGTTTTCTCTTTATAGGAGACATACTTCTGATCAGTGTGTAAATCCATGACCATGGAAAAATTCTTCAAATAGAGCCCCAGTAGAATCTAGCTTTAACTGGATAAATTTGTGCTTCTTACATTTTGTTCATTTTTAGTATGAAAAATGTGGAAATATTTAAGGAGCATATGACACTTTAAATGCATTTCCTATGAAATTTAGTTCATTCATCTATTAGAATTTTACATTTTAAGTATCTGACTGCTCTGTTTATTATTAATTTATTACTGCAGAGGACGAGATCGCTCAATCTTGTTTGATAATTTCCCGCTCTTGGGACTGCAAATATCGGGTCCGTTGACAGTGGTATTACTAGTACAGAAAGATGGTAGGTCAATCGTTTGCTCGCGTGTGTGTGGACGAATTCCTAGTCGTTGATGCATTGTGAACCACTGACCTTAGTAATGCTCATGTGAGGAACTAGAGAAAATGGTTTAACAAATTGTTTTTTGTAATTTATCACAAGGCAGCATGTTCAGAAGCCTTTTTCGGGCTATTGCGTTCGTATTAGGGAAAATTGATTTAAGATCTATAGAGTACAAACTCCTAGCAGAACAATTTTGTGATTATATATCTTGTTCATTACATATGGTTGTGCAATAAATTCGGATTATGGAAATATTGCATGCTTGTCATCCCAGTAAAGCAAACGAAGACAATTTGGATGTATCATATATGGCAATATTGCATGCCATTCCTCTCCTTCCTCTCCCACCTATTCAGTGACAAATTGACTGGACATAACTGGTAATCAGCAAATTAAGTTTTGTTTGTTATATGGAATCTGAGGTTATAGGCAAGAGGAGGTTTTTATTTTATTATTTTTTGTATTCCTTCTTCTCGCTCTCGCTTTCTTTTTAACGGATCTGTTATTGTATTTTAAAGATTTCAAGAAGGAATTATGAAGGGAGTGCACTTAAGCCCTTTAGATTTTGAGTCTCATAGGTCTGCGGAGAAAAAAGCAAACCCAGCCACTAGCGTGCTGGGTGCACAAGGGATTGTATCGGGTTTTGCAGGCAGTTTATTAACATTTATAGAAAGCATTGGGTCACAAATTCCATCAGCTCCATTCAAAGAAAGAAGAGTACATAATAATACATCATTTTTCTTTTTCCTCCACTGATCAAAGCCAAATTCTACAACGAAATGCTTGAAAATACAAATATTAGACACCTGATACTATATGGGCAAGGCCCTCCACCATAACAGAAACCATTGTAATAAAACCAAATTAAGATCAGAAAAAGGGACAACTATATGAAGAAGAAAAAAACAAGCAAACAAACAAATTACAAAGCCGCTAATAGATATTACAAATTCCTTTTTAGTTGGCTAAATGGCTAGGAGAGCTATTGAACATACTGTGCCACATGAAAGCTCTTGAAAGCACCATCTCTAGCTCTTGGTGAGTCCAGTTATTAGTTGGAAGGTGTTGAAGAAACATAACCAACTCCTGGAAATCAAGCTTCTGAAGCTTATCTGACCACTGAATCAAATAATAGTGCTTTTTAAGTTATTAACATCCACTTCATTGAGCAACCAAAAAGAAAAAACAAGCAATTTCAGCTGACCACGCAATAACAGAAAGGCAGTCATTCCTCATACATAAAACACAAAACCAGAGAATACAGAATTATCCATTCAGATTCTCTGGAGTCAAATTAACCCAAGCACAACAAATGTAGTATAGAAAGAAATAAGTTGTTGCACCCACTGCATAAGCATAGTATATACGTGCAGAGACAATCTGGAGAGAAGGAGAACATGGGCCAGGAAAATTAGCAGAAAAGCCAATAAAAGGCGACCTTCCCTGAGCCTCCCAGTCACCATTAAAAACATCATGCATGGTATTGCATGAAATTGGCAATTTGTGGGGCCTGACGTTTTTGTTCCACACATAACCATTCCCAGATTCTAGATATGAAAGAAACTTGAAAAAGGAAAAAGAAAAAGAAAGAAGAGCACCAAAATGGTCACTTCAATGATAAGCAAGAATGCACCCACTATTTCTGTTAATGGAAAGTAGTGCGCGGTATATTTCTTCAGTTTTGAACAAGTTGGATGCCATGAATGCTATTCAGAAAAATCTTTGAAACAATCTATAAGGTGTCAAAAGCATTATAATAGATTTCTTCCATAACCAAAGCTGAGAAAGGTATGTCAAACATATTAGCTTAGACCCCCCATAATTTCCCGAAGGCAAAGAAAACACATTGTTAATGCACAAATAAATCAACAGATGCATTTTCTTACCACAGCTAATACATCCAAACATGTAACCAAGGAAATTATATCCTTTCAAAGGCAAGAATTTCTATCTTACCGTTAAAAGAAAACTGGCAAATATATACGCAAGGAAGTCTGGCAATGCATCTCCTTCAGCAAGATAAGTATCCCATAGGCGAGTAATAAGATGGAAAGGAATCTGAGCAGGATAAAGAAAAAATTGCCATTAGCTTTGCAATAAATGACAAAACCACAACGTTGTGACCAAATTTCACTTAGAAACATTCTCAGCTACCCAATAACCTTAGGGTGACATTGTCCATAATATATGAATATCGTTAAAACAGGGAAATCTACAGAAATGTATGCAGAAAAGATATTTAGGATTACACCTCACGTATTAAAAGACAGTTGAACCAGCGGAAAGCAAATTGAAGAAATTCTAGCCCTTGCTCCTCCATGTGTGTAGATACCGGTTCTAGTACAGTAAGAATAAATCGCGTAAGTATACACATGAAGGATAATTGTAAAACTTTGACAGGTTTCTCTTCTAAATAAGAAACATCCCTAGAAATATACTTTCAAGAATTCACATTTACCCATTAAAGAATCCTCCTTGCTATGATAAAAATGTGTACCAAAATTTTATTGCATCAGGTGGAGAATTGGAAAAACAGTAAATGCAAAGAAAATTACCTCAAAATCTTTATAACATATAATAGCCAACCCCAAATTTAGCCTGATGCATGCCTCTACCCTCAATGGTGAATAATGTGTTTAAAGGACTGTGGATCAATTTTCTTAAAGTATCCTGTGGGCTTTGTGTCTTTCGCTGAAACTGTTTAGGGAAATGAGTAAACGGGGTTATTCCAATATACATTCTTTCACTTCTTTGCAAGAAGGATAAAGTGGCAGAAAGGTTAAAGAAAGCCAAAGTTATGTAGGGTTGCATGGTCCTCACTGTGTTCTGGGTATTTTGGCTGCAGAGAAGCAAAATGATTTTTGAGGTTCTAGCCCTTCACTGGCATATAGGCCCAAAGGAGAGTTCGATATTAGCTCTCTTTTGGCATCTGGTTCCACAGAAATTAGGGGCTTATCTTTTACAGATATTTGGTTAAATTGGCAAGCATCAGATGTTCATGTTTTGGTTCGGTCTGTTTTAACAATACATAGTTCTTGTAACTTTGTTTTGATGTTTCCATGAAGTTTGTTACGTTCACTATTCCGTAATTCTATTGTTTATCCGCTAACAAAAAGGTACAGTTTTCAAAATAAATAATAATATAGAAGCATACATTTTAGTATAATGTTTGTGGATTTAACACAAGTACTGAATTTCCTTTCATGAATTCCTATATGTTCAGAATGCTTCACTCTTTAGCCAGCTAAATCCTACATATGTGAAGTCATGCCTGCCATAACCATCTCTAGACCACTCTACCACCCTTTAATTACTCTCTATTGACAACATAACCTACACCCCAGCAACACAACCAACTCTTTCTCAAGTACCCTATAGGAATTGGAGCCTTTTGCCTTGGCTCTCTCATTTGCCACTGGTTATTCGTAAGTCCTCATATGCATAAAGAAAAGCAATGAGACTTCCATATTGAAAACTATGACAGAGGAAAATATTTAATTCTACAAATAATTTAGGGAACTATTCAGCAAAATTAATGAAAATGCATCTTGCAAGTCCATACAAAATTTAAGTATCAGTTCATGCAGAAAAAAAGGTGCAAGAAAGAGAAACTAAAAACAGAGAAATGGGGGTTACCATCAATCCGCCTGACCACTTCCTTTAGCTTAAACACAAGCCTCTGGATTCCCGGCTGGGCAAATGTGTAATGGTCTTGCATACCATCAAGTAACTTTGATAGGCACCAATAGCAATCAGCCTCTATGTTAGATATTTTATCAGGAGACAGATCAGAGAATGACCAACTATCCACACTCCCTTCCAAGTATTCTGATAAGAAAACGACAAGAAAGGGAGTAACAAGGTCATTTATTCCCTGAACATATCCACTTGCAGGATGTCTAATGGCCCTGAAAGACATTAGGAAAAGCAACTTGAAAAGACATCCTAATAATCATAAGAACTACATAATTTGAGAAACAAATAACTCAAAATGGTGGCATCTTGAAACCATGCTCCATATCTCAATCAAATTTTTAAAAGCTACATTACTGGAACCCGAAAACTGCTTACCCAACTAGTCATGCTAGCATAATAAGTATTGGCATAATCTTGTCACTTTGATAAGTAAACATTATGACTCACTCTGTCAACGTATGGTCCACATCTAAGGAAAACACTTACCATCCAAAACTGATGGAATAAAACTAGAACCTTATAACATCCTGATCATAAGATTCAATAGTAGTGCAGATGTATGTACATGTATGTTCAGTTAACTGACATGTTGAGAATCAGGCCCCATGTTTCCCAGCTCTCTAAATGTATGGTGTCAATACAATCAAGTTGCAAAAATATAGTGTAGAGAATACATTGCAAATTACCCAAGTGTTTAATGAACCAAAGGCCTTTGGATGAACACAACAACTAAGACAATTGGACAAAAACATAAAAGACATAGGCCAAACATATCAAAACTGGTAAATCTGTTGGAGAACTATCAAGGAATTTTGTTTTGTTTTGGGGGGGAAGGGTTGGCAAGTCCTGTTAAGTTAACCCAAAAAAAAATTTCCACATTAATGCAATATTTCTCTCTTCCTGACATGAACACATAAGGCATCCAAAAAAATAAACAAGGACAGTTATAGTATTTTAACCATGTGTAAAGGATGCGTTCCAAGGATTTCTGGACTTGAGCTTGCTGAAAAAAAGATACATCTGGCACAGTTCTTGGGCAATCGACAGCAATCTAAAAAGGATAAAAAAGCAATTGTCAAAATCACGAAGCACGAATTACACTAAGCAGGTAGGCATTGTGGGTAAAATTTAAAACACCTGGCGAAGCATGTTTATCTCATCATCTGAACGCTCAGTATCTGGAATGTCATAATACTGGGAAACACAGTCAAGATACTCAAGGCGCTTCCTTTTCAGAACTCCCCCCCTTCTATCTGAATTAGGTGGTGCATATCCCTGTTGTCAGTTCATGTTTAATTTCAAACAAGCAACAATGTTTACCAGATTAAAAAAATCCCAGGTTATTAAAATGGCTGATAAAAATAAACTCCTTTTATAGGAAATGATAATATCTTGAACAAATTCTCTAGAACTTCCATTTCAATTACCAAAAAGAATAAAACAAAAATATATATTAATAAACAAAATAAAAGGTTTCTAGAAAAAGTGAAAAAAAAAAAAAAAAAAAAAAAAAAAAAAAAAAAAGAAAAAAAAAAAAAAAAAAAAAAAAAAAAAAACCTCAAGTTCAAAGCATGGGCGGAACAATGGACACCCAGGGTACACTTGACAACCCTGACCTAGCTGCAGGCATGGATGGTTGCAATAAACAAAACCAAAGAACTACAGAAGGCAATACAAAGGAGAACCTTGCACCTTCTATGTCCATAATGCTCCCTCTCACAAGGTTTCCACAAAAACAATGGCTTTTTTGGGATTCATCACTTTTGTGGAGCTTTGCAAGGACATGCCTTTGCAAGCCTATTATACTATATGCAAGCCATACAAAGTGGATAATATTCATGTAATGCCCACCCCACTTGAAATCCTTCTAGCAGTCCAATGGGAAATAACATGACAGCTATTCTTTGGTTGAGTACTATCCAATGACTAAAATTCTAAAACTTTCAATGTTAATCTTAAAAGGATCAAAGCATCGAGCTTACCAAAAGAAGTCTCCATACATCAGGTCGCATATATGGTGGTATGCCACTCCAAGCCAACTCACGCAACTTCTCTACACAAACCATAGAAAATTAAATTTTTGAAAAGAAAAAGTAAAAGGAAATAAAAGATACAGAGCTTGGTTAGCAACAAACAAAATTTGCGGAGGTAATAGATATATCAAAAGAGTAACAATAACAAGTGTCCAAATTTAGATCACATGATGAGGTTGGCTGGTGATCATGAAGATTGGGTTATACAAAAATGTAAAGCTCCTAAGCAAGAAACAAGACCCAGAACATATTCTAACAGTTACAAGCACGACCCTGCTGGTATAACT